AAGCTCTTATTGGAAGCATTTATTTAGATAGTAACATAAAAACAGTAGAAGAATTAATATTAAAATGGTATGAAAAACGTTTAGAAAAAATAAGTCCTGGAGATACGCAAAAAGATCCCAAAACACGGTTACAAGAATATTTACAGTCAAAACATTTATCTTTACCCACATATTTCATAGTTGAAATATATGGAGAAGCTCATAATCAATTATTTACTATTCATTGTAAAATTAGTGTTATTTCAGAATATTTAATTGGTACCGGTTCGAGTAGAAGAAAAGCTGAACAAGATGCTGCACAAAAAGCATTAATTAAATTAGGTGTAGAGTGAATATAAAACAAAAATACTGTGGTTATATAACAATTATTGGAAAAGCAAATGTTGGGAAATCTACATTGCTCAATCAAATTATCGGTAAAAAAATTTCAATTGTATCAAGAAAAAAAAATACAACACAAACAAATATTATAGGAATTAAAACAGAACAATGTTATCAATCTATTTATATAGATACTCCAGGAATTTTATTTGATAAAAAAAACAATAAAATTAAATATAATAATAATTTTTTTAATGTTATAAAAAGTTCCACATTGATATTATTTGTCATAGATCGACTTATTTGGACTGAAAATGATGAAATTATTTTAAATAAAATAAAGAAAAAAAGAATTCCAGTTATAATAATTATTAATAAAATCGATAAAATTGCTAAAAAAAATACTTTATTGCCTTTTATCAATATTCTTAAAAAAAAAAATGATATAATCGAAATTATTCCTATTTGTGCAAAAAAAACAAAAAATGTTATTTTAATATATAATGTAATCAAGTCTTATCTACCAAAAAATCCACATATATATTCTAAAAATTATGTAACAACAAATTCTCAATTTTTTACAATTTCTGAAATTATTCGTCAACAATTAATACTATTTTTAGGCGATGAATTGCCTACTATTATTAAAGTTGAAATTGAATCTTTTCAAAAGAAAGAAAATCAAAAGAAAGAAAAAGATGAATTACACATAAGAGCAATAATTTTAGTAAAAAATATTAGACAAAAAAAAATTATTATTGGTCGTAATGGAGAAAAAATAAAAAAAATTAGTATAATGTCAAGACAAAATATAGAAAAAGAATTTCATATGAAAACTCATCTTCTTTTGTGGGTTAAGAAACATATGTTTAAATAAAATAATTACTAATTTTTTAAAATTAGTTAAATGTTTTACATATTAACTAATTTTAAAAAATAATCATATTCCAATAAAAGGTCTTTTTCATTATGTCTATTGTAGGTGTCGGATCAGATATAGTAGAAATTTTACGCATTAAAAATATTTTTTTTAAATATCAACATAAATTTGCTAAAAAAATTCTATCTAAAATAGAATGGAAAAAATACATTATTAGTCAAAACTACATCAGTTTTTTAGCAAAAAAATTTGCAGCTAAAGAGGCTGCATCTAAAGCGTTAGGAACAGGAATTAATAATGGAGTAACGTTAAATCAACTAGAATTTTATAATAATAAATTTGGAAAACCAAAATTACGTTTTTTAAAAAATGCTTCAAAAAAATCTAAAAAAATGAAATGTAAATCTATACATGTAAGTATATCTGATGAAAAATTATATGCATATGCTTTAGTAATTTTAGAATCTTAATTTTAACTATTTATTAAAACTAATATTGAATTTTCTTTTTTTTTGAAAAAAATTAACTAAAATATTAGCACATTCTTGTTTCATAACATTTTTTTTTATAGTTAATTTATAGTCTTTTTGAGAATTTAAAAATATATCTCTCAAAGAGTACTTTTGATCTGATTGTAGAGAATTAGCTCCAAATACTAAACGTTTTATACGACTATTTATAATAGCTCCACAACACATAATACATGGTTGCAAAGTAACATATAATGTACTATCTAATAATCGGTAATTTTTTATTTTTTTTCCTGCGTCGCGTAATGCTATAATTTCTGCATGTCCAGTAGGATCGTGTTTCGTAATAGAACTATTCCATCCTATTCCAATAATACGCTCTTTAAAAATTAATATTGCACCAATGGGGACTTCCCCTTTTTTTTGTGCATAATATGCATATTTTAAAGCAATTTTCATCCAATTTTTATCTTTATTATATATCATAAAATATTTTATATATTTGTATTAGTTTTTTTAAGAATTTTTAATTTTTCTTTTTGCCATTCTTTATTTTTAGCATCTGTTCTTTTATCTTTCATATTTTTACCTTTTGCTAATCCAAATTCTAATTTACACCAAGATTTTTTCCAAAATAAAGATAATGGAATGAGTGTATATCCTATATTTTTTCTTTGTATAGATAAAAAATTGATTTCATTTTTATGTAATAACAATTTTCTTTTTCTCATAGGATTACAATAATTATTATTTGATGATACATTCAAAGGTTGAATCAAAGCATTATAAAGATACATCTCATTAAGATAATTAATTACATAACTTTCTGAAATATTTATTTTTCCTGAGCGAATGGATTTGACTTCCCAGCCTTCTAAAACTAAACCAGATTCAAATATTTTTTCTACAGAATAGTTGTGATATGCTTTTTTATTAATAACAATTTTAGATAAATTTACACGATTTTTTTTATGTAACATAATAAAATTTATTCCAAAAATAAAGTACAATATTAATTTAAAAAAATATGAATATCATTCATGTAACAGTCGCTTATGCTTTACCAAATAAACAGTACATTTATGAAGTAAAAATGAAATTAAATAGTACTGTAAAAGATGCTATCTTAGAATCAAAGATATTGAATATAATAAAAAATTTTTCATTACATGATCTTCATGTAGGTATTTATAATAAATTAGTACATTTAGATACTAAAATAAAAGATGGTGATCGAATTGAAATTTATAGAAATTTGTCGATAGACCCAAAAGAATGGAGACGAAAAAAATATATTGCTATTAAAAAATAATGAATTCATTTTAAAAATAAATATTTTATATATTTTCAACAAAAATTTTTCTTTTAGATTTAATAAAAATTACAAATTTTTATAAAATTATTAAATCTAAAAAAACATATTTTATATTTTTTTCTTAGAAACTACGACCATAGCTGGACGCAATAAGCGAGATTCATGAAGAATATAACCAGGCTGCATAATTGTTACTATTTTATTTGGTTCTATTTGATTCGTATATTGAATAGACATAGCTTGGTGTATAGATGGATCAAATGGTACATTTATATCATCTATTTTTTTTACATGAAAAAAAACAAAAAAATCTTTTAATAAATCAGAAATAATTTTTAATTTATTTTTGATTTCTATAAAGATTTTATCAGATTCATTATTTTCAATTGAATTTAAAGCACGTTCAATACTATCTGAAATTGGAAGAAAATCTATAAGTAACTTTTCTAAAGAAAACTTTCTATTTTTTTCAAGTTCTTGATTTACTCGATGGAATATTTTTGTTATTTCTTGTTCAGCTTGATTTTTTTTTTCTAGTATTTTTTCTTCAGATTTTTTTAATTGATCTTCCAAAGATCTTATTAAATCTGTTTTTATTAATTGATTATTTTTCTTATTTTCTTTTTTCTCTTTTTCTACTACTGGCTCTTCTTTATTCATCATAAAAATATCCTTTTTTAGTATGTGTTTATTTAAAAAAAAACTTTTTTATTTTTTTATTTTTTAGAAAATAATTCTAAAAAATTTGATTCAGAATTGAATTAAGATATTTGTTTGATTTTTTTAGTTTTGAACTAGAGGAGGAATATAAGATATTGACATATCCCACGGTTGTTCGATCCATACATTTTGAGGAATATCTATAATATAGTCATCAACTAGTAGACGACCCATAGGTTTAGCAAAAATAGTTGCAAAATGCGCTTTCGGATATAAATTACGGATAATTTTTGCAGTTCCACCAGTATCTACAAGATCATCTATTACGATAATTTGTTCTCCATTACCTTCTGCTTTTTTAATTATTTTTCTATTTTTCTTCAAACAATCGTCATTGTAACTTGAAATACATACAGTATCAACACACCGAATGCCTAGTTCTCTTGCTAATAAAGCTGTTGGAACCAGACCTCCTCGACTTACCGCAATTATTCCATTCCAAGAATGTTTTTTTAGTAACCGATTAGCTAATTTTCTAGTATAAATTTGAAGCATATCCCAGGTAACAATGTATTTCTCACTCATAAAAGAAATTCCGAAACTATAAAATAGTATTTATTAGAAAAGTGGAAATAAGTTGTAATTATTACAGGATTTTTAGTAAAGTCAAAAATTTAAGATAATATTTTGTTTGATGATTTATTCATTTCTTGTTCAATAATTAATATTAATATATGAATAACTTTAATATGCATTTCTTGTATACGATCTGAGTATCCAGAATAAGGTATACAAATTTCTATATCAGATGATCCTTTTATTTGTCCTCCATTGTTACCTGTTAAAACAATAACTTTCATATTTTTTTTTTGTGCTGATTTGATTGCTTTTATTATATTTGATGATTTTCCGGAAGTAGAAATTGCTAATAGTACATCGTTTGGACATCCTACACTTTCAATAAAACGTGAAAAAATTTGATCATATCCAAAATCATTGCTCACTGCTGAAATATAGCTAGCATCAGAAATAGAAATTGCTGGATATCCAGATCTTTTTTCTCTATACAAACTAGTCAATTCTTCTGCGAAATGAATTGCATCGCAATTTGAACCTCCATTACCACAAGATATTACTTTATTACCACTTTTAAAAGCTTCTGAAATTAAAATAGCAGATTTTTGAATGTTATATATTTGTTTTTCATCTTTTAAAAAATTTTTCAATATTTTTAATGCAGTATCTAATTCAGAAAGAATTATTTTTTTATACATGATTTTACGATCTTAATTTTTTAAAAAATAATTATATGTTTGTACTTTATAAAATTTATGATAATAAGAAGTACATTTTTCGGTGCGGACGGGGCTCGAACCCGTGACCCCCGGCGTGACAGGCCGGTATTCTAACCAACTGAACTACCGCACCATCTTAATACTGTTAATATTGTACATATTTTAAAAAAATCAGTCAATAATCTTTTTAATATTTCTTAAAATTACTTCCATAAACAGATATTTTTTTCTTTCATATATTTTAAATATTTTTCATGAAGATCTAATTCTTTTTGTGTAGGGCGTACTATTTTTAAAGAACGATTTTTTGATTTAAATAACGTATCTGATTTATTTAGTGATTTTTTATGATCAAATTTATTATAAGAAAATATAGATTCTTGACGACTCGTCATTAAAAGATATAATTTACCTAAAAGTTTAGCATCAATAATTGCACTATGTAAATTTCTATGAGATTTATTTATTTTATAACGAGCACAAAGCGCATCTAAAGTATTTTTTTTTCCAGGAAATAATTTTCTAGCAATTTTAAGAGTGTCAATAATAGAACAAAAATCATCAATTTTTTTTACTTTTTTATTTAACATTGAAAATTCTTGATTAATAAAACCCAGATCAAATGAAGCGTTATGAATTACTAATTCAGAATTTTTAATATAATCTAAAAATGTTTCAGCTATATCTCTAAAAACTGGTTTATTTAATAAAAAATCGTTAGTAATACCGTGAATTTTTAATGCTCCAGATTCTATTAATCTATTAGGTTGAAGATAAACATGGAAATTGTTTCCTGTAAAATGATTTTCAATGACTTCAACTGCACCAATTTCTATAATTCTATGATTAATATGAGGCAGTCCTATCGGATTTATACCTGTTGTTTCAGTATCTAATATAACTGTTCTTTTTTTATTCATCATTTTAAAAAAATAATTTTTGAAAGTAAGGGTGTACTATGCTAAAACTAGTTAAAATATTTACAGATGGATCTTGTTTGGGAAATCCTGGTACTGGAGGATATGGTACAATTTTACAATATAAATTACACGAAAAAATACTGACTGCAGGATTTTATTTAACAACTAATAACAGAATGGAATTAATGGCTGTAATTTCAGGTTTAGAATTTCTGAATCAATCTTGCTCTGTTGAAATAACAACAGATAGTTTATACGTTAAAAAAGGAATTTTAGATTGGATGCCTATATGGAAAAAAAAAAATGGAAAACTGCAAAAAAAAAATCTGTAAAAAATATAGATTTATGGTTACGTATGAATCATGCTTTAAAAAAGCATATTGTTACTTGGTTTTGGATTAAAGCTCATTCGGGTCATTTAGAGAATGAAAGATGTGATTTTATAGCACGTCAATCAGCTCAAAATCCTTGTATTAAAGATTTGTATTATGAAAAAAGCAAATTATAAAAAATTTTTAAAAGAGCATTTAATTTTTCAAATATATCAAAAAGGAAAAAAGTACATGATCTTAGAAAATATATCTATATTATCTGATAACTATGTTTGGTTTCTTTATGATACAAATAATTTTTGTATAATCATAGATCCTGGTTTATCTGAACCTATCATAGAGAAAATTAAGAAAAAAAAATGGAATCCTGTAGCTATTTTATTAACTCATAGTCATTCTGATCATACAGAAGGAGTGTCTGAAATTATTCAAAATTATCCAAGTGTAACTATTTTTGGACCGAAAGAAACCAGAAAAAATAGTGTAAATAGGATTGTATCAGGAGGAGAAAAACTATTTTTATTAAACAAAACAGTTTATGTTTTACCAACTCCAGGACACACATTAGGTCATGTTTCATATTATATGAAACCATATTTTTTTTGTGGAGATACTCTTTTTTCAGGAGGTTGTGGCCGTGTTTATAAGGAAAGATATTTAGAAATGTACAATTCAATAAAGCTGATATCATCTTTTCCTGATAATACTATGCTATGTTGTTCTCATGAATACACTTTATCTAATTTGTCTTTTGCTAAATTTATTTTACCAGAAGATAATATGATTAAAATTTATTATAAAAAAATCAAAAAATTAAGGTATTTAAATAAATCTAGTTTACCTTGTTATATCTTTTTTGAGAAAAAAATAAATTTATTTTTAAGAACAGATGAGAAAATATTAAAAAAATTTATGGGATTGAAAAATAGTTTAACGGATTTAGAAGTTTTTATTCAATTAAGATTAAGAAAAAATTATTTTAT